TGACAATCTGTTATTTGTGTGGAATTTGATCGCATGTCAGTAGCATTAGAATTACTTAGAGGAAAGTGGACGAAATGGCAATAATCTGATGGCGTGATTGTTGACGCATGCATGTCATTTTCCATTTGCTGATTTTTCGCTTTGTTCAATTCTTCCAAAATCGAATATTCACTATCAACATGCATATTAGGATTACTGACATGTGTCTCGACATGCATCTTGACAGGTAAGCTCATTACACTAGCTAAACTATCCTTCTTAGATAAAACTCTAAATTGTGATGTTGGCTCTTGATGTTTCTCCACATGAAATACGAAATAATTATCCAAAAATCTTTCGTTTAATAAAGTCTTTCTTAAACGTTGAGTTTTCAGTTTGTTTTCACGTTTGGCTATTCGCATGGAAGTTCTCAATGTTTCGTCTATGAAGGAAACATCTCTTTGATTGAGTTTCGAATAAGGTTGTGGCATGTTTTTTTTTAGTTGGAAAGTTTCAAACTTTCTTCATGCACAAGGGTAATATCGAACAAGTCTGGTTGTGAGCACATTCAAAATGGTCAATGGAAAGATTTTTTAAAGTACATGGTTATGGCATTATCCAAAAAGGGAACATTGATGGTCAATTAAGGTTTTTGCACATCAATTCAAAGTTGCCTTGTATAGTGCAATGAGTTCTTCCACAATAATTGTTGGTTAATACTAGCAATCAAAAGTTAAAAGTTCCATTTTTGAACATTAACTTTAATACTGTTCTGTTGTCTGTTGTAAAAGTCAATTTTTATTATTACAATGTCGCATGAATGAAATTATGCGTTTTATTGTTCTGATAATGGCACTCTTCTAAAATAGAAGTTTGATACTTGCTAATTATTGAGGCACATGATTCGTTTCGTTTCTTATCGGTCTGTATGTGCTTAATGAAGTTGAGAAAACTTTCGAAAGTACACGTTTCGGTTTCACCACTTTCATCATCTAATAAGAATGTGGAAAGTAGTGGTTTTTCTGCAATAATTCTTGTATAAATTTCAAGGTTTCCATTCAATTTGTTTGTGAACATTAACATCATTTTCTGGAAGAAAGGATTTAAAATCGTTCAGCCAAGTTACCATATCAAACAAATGTGTTCATAAATGCTTCAAACTAATAATGTTCTGCTAATCATTAAGCATTACCGGATAGATTATCATTTTTCTTCTGAAAGATAATCAAATTCAAACTTATTAGAGATTGGAAAATAGTGGTATTGTTTCTGCCTCATTTCAGTGTCACTTTGCCAGCATGGAATTGTCACAACAGGATATGGAACTGTGTGCTTAATGAAGTTTCCAATGAATGTTGATGAGAATCCTTTCGAATACAATCTGTTTCAGTTTCACTTAAAGTAGCGAGATGGGTAAAACAGAGATATTACTCAAAAGATTAGTTCTCAAAACACAAGATCCCATTCTAAATCGCAGATATGAAAATCATGAGAGTTGCGACTCAACTGAGATTTTTATTGGAAGAAGTTTCTGTTTTGTCCTTGATCCATAAGAGCACAACACAATTGCAGTAGAAATAAATCGAATTGTTGCTGATGGTTGTGGATAGTGTTTGTAGTTTCTTCTGGTTGTTGTGTTTCATTTCGAATGATATTTGTTTCGAATAATTGATTTTGCTCGTGGTTATAGTTTGCTGATTGCAAGTTGTTGATCTTTGGTGGAGAAGTGCTAACGTGTTTAGTCACAATTAATTGTTCACTTTCGAATGATTTGGATCCATCAATTCGAAAGACAACAGTTTCGTCCTTTTCAGGGTTCAAAACAAAGTAATTCTTCAATAAATCATCATTACACAATTGTTTTCTCAACTCGTGTTTGGCAGATATCTTTACCTTCTTTTGAATTCTATTCAAAGTTTTACAAGTTTCGTCCTTGAACATTATTTGTTTCGTCTTCTTATTCGAATTATTCATCTTTGAGTTATTTTATTTAATATTAATTCAATGTCCAGCACACATGTTTCCATGATCAAAAGTTTGCCTTTATCAACTGAACCTGCCAAATTGTCCTTTTTGATATTGACAATCAGATGTGCTGCATTCAAACAATCACATTTACAAACTTAAAACGAAAGGAGATATTCGATATGGAAAATTGCAATTTCATTATGGAATTACGAGACAATTGAGGCTCTTTCAAATTTTGGCTTCATGACCTCGAGGGAAAACACTTTAAAAGGAATTATCTTTATTTGTCAAATTTTCATGGAAATGAGATTGTGGGAGCTCAATATCACAACATTTAAATAATTACAAATGTGAGAATGGGAAGAACAAGCAGATTCGACGAAAGGAACACTGAGGTAGTTTGATAGAGTTGATATTCTTTCGTGTGATGATGAACTAAACCAAGTAGCCCACAAGCTATGAGAGTCTTGGATGGTTTGCTGGTTGTGTTGTTTTAAAAAGAAAGAAAACAATTCATCTATGATATTAATCCACACTTCATATAAAATATCTAAAAATTATTGCTATTTTCTTAAAGTATCTAAAAATTATTAAAGTAATTTGCCTTGTAATTAAACAAATTTACTATATTGGTTATCATTTTACTTGCTCGTTAGATATCTAAGTTTCTTGTGATGCGTCCATTATTCGAAAGCCAAATCCTCCATGCATGTAAGCCAAAAAACTGTCATCCTTTCGAATGAACACACTTCAATTTTGCTAAAGCAGATCAATAGTGCTTCAACTGATAATTGATTTAATGTTGGGTCTCTTCAATAATAATACGACATACCTAATCAACAAGTGCATTAACTGATGAGTGGGAGAAATCTCAATTTACAGATTTATTGAAAATTATTTCTGTTTTCTCCTTGATCTAATTGTGCACAACATAACTGCAGAAGGAATAGATTTAATTGTTGATGGTTGTGGAGAGAGTTTGAAGTTTCGTCTAGTTGGGGATCATTTCGAATGGTTTCTAATGATTGAACAAGTGGAATTGGCTCTTGGTTTTGATATGATACGTTGCTGATCTTTGGTGGAGAGGAGCTGACTTGTTTAGTTACAATTAATTGCTCATTTTCGAATGATTTAATGTCATCAATGCGAAAGACTGAAGTTTCGTCTTTTTCTCTATCCAAAACAAAGTAATTCTTCAATAATTCATCATTGCATAATTGTTTCCTGAGTTCGTGCTTGGCAGACTTTACTTTCTTCTTGTTTATTCTATTCAATGTTTTACTAGTTTCGTCTGTGAACATTAGTTTCGGATTCTTTCCATTATTCATCATGGAATCTTTTTGGTATTTTATTTGATCACGTAATTTGAGATTTTTGCTTCTGAACCTGTCAACAATTCAGCAAGGACTTTAGCACCACTTTCTATCAAGAAATTTCCAACAGAAAGAGTTGTATAGTTGACAGATATCAAAATTAAGGCACCTGACATGTGTCATGAGAGGAAGATAAGGTTGAATAAAAACGAAACATGTTAAATTTAGTTTATTTCTTTTTTGTTTATTTCTCGTAGAAGCTCCTCTTCTTTGCAGACCTCTATTTTCTCCATTACTCTTTAAGGAAATAATTAGTGACTTTCTTTTTAGAAACAAGAGTTTCGGATATCAAAATATTAATAATAATACCTTTTCATTAAATAGGCAATCCACATTTTCCAAAAACACTTTAATCATGTAGAAAAGGGAGAATTCATTTATAGACTTTTCAGTCGAAATTTACCATTTGTTGATTTGTAATTATTCGAAAATGATTTATTTCAGAAATGATGAGTATCCTTTGTTATATTTCACTGAATAGTTTTTCAGAAAAAGTTTTCCACTATCACTCACTACATGTGTTGAAACACATTGTTGAACAAAGTTCTGAGTTATTTTTAATACTCTTCAATTCCACTTAATAATGCTTTCATTTACAATTATTGTACATTAAAATTGTGTTTGTTGATGAATTGATGTAAATTCTTGCCAGGTTTGATGTGACAGACTGATTCGGTCTGGTTGACAATACATGAACACACTACTAGCTGTTGATTGTTGATCCTCTAGATTCAATCTATTTGATTGTGGTATTAAAATGTTACATGACCACACCTTTTTTTGACACACATGTACATGTAGCTGTTGTGTGCATGTTCAGCAATTTAACAAATATGATAACAATTGAAGCATGCTATATCTCTTTCGAAACCTCCACTATTAACTTTCTTCTAACAACATTATTCCGGTGCTACATGTAAGCACACATGGTCAGCATGTTATTTCTTTTTTGTTTGAACGTATTGGAAGTCTACATGTTGTAACCTCAACAACATGATGACTTTCTAATATTTCAATTTCACCAAAAGCAGTGAAATGACTCATTTTAAGCAGGCAAATTGCTTTTAAACGATCTAATGAATTTGTAACAGTGGTATTATTCAAGATTAGTTTGCCTAAATCTGCCTTCTTCGCGTAATTGACTGGCCGAAAGTCATGGATGAGAAAATTTACAAATCTCCAACTTGCAGATTTATTGAAAGCAACTTCTTTTTTGCCCTTCTTGTTGGTGAATGAGTGCACAACACAATTGTAGAAGGAATTGGTTCATTTCTTGTTGGTTGTGGATGGTGTTTATAATTTCGTCTGGTTGTGGATCATTTCGAATGGTTTCAGATACTTGTACTGGTGGATTTGGTTCATGGTGATGAGTTGATTGGACGTTAGTGACCATTGAGTGTTTAGTCACAATTACTTGCTCATTTTCTAATGGTGTGTTTTCAATTCGAAAGACAACAGTTTCGTCCTTTTCAGGGTTCAAAACAAAGTAATTCTTTAATAAATCATCATTACACAACTGTTTTCTCAATTCATGTTTGGCAGATATCTTTTCCTTCTTCTTATGTATTCTATTCAATGTTTTACAAGTTTCGTCCATAAACTTTATAACTTTCTCCTTCTTTCTAATATTCGAATTTTTCATTGGTTTGAGAGTTTTTTATTTTAATTTGTACAGACCTGTCATCATCAGTACGTATGTGAAGCATGAACAATTATAATTTGTAACTTCTAATCTGAGAATTTGAGATTATAGAGTTGAATTTGGCAATTAATTTTGTCCTTTTCAGAGCATCAAATTGAAGTGTTTACATGGGTGATACAATGACATCTAACTGAAGTGTTTGACGTGTTTGTGAAATGAAGTTTATTCGAAATTAAACGTAATTTTCTAATTGTTCCATTCAGGATCAAGTCAAATTTGATTCTTGTTCATTGACTACGGTCCTTTTCATTGATGTTCACTAATCTTAATTTAGATGCCAATTTGAAAAGGCAAGTAAATGTTCTAAAACTATTGTTTATTGGATGGAGATGATAGCTCTTGGCCAGTTTCGTAAACTCGTCTTGGAAACGAAAAATCTTAAAGATTCAGAGAAATTATTTCTGTTTTCTCCTTGCTCTAATTGTGCACAACATAACTGTGGAAGGAATAGATTGAATTGTTGGTTGTGGAGAGAGAGTTTGAAGTTTTGTCGAGTTGGGGATCATTTCTAAGTTGCCGATCTTTGGTGGAGAAATCGATAAAATAATAGAGAAACAATAAAGAGATTGAATAAATTGAGAGTTTATTGAAAGCATAAATATGTGGGTGCCGTAGCTTTGTTGGCAGACAACATCTCATGTTGCAGTCCGGATGGCAATTGCCTTAATGATCATCTCCTTATTGTCCTATACCAAAAATGATTGTTGTTTAATGAAATATCGAAGTTAGTATATTGCTTTGAGTGTGCAATATTAGTTTCGTCTGTTATTCGAATTATTCATTGTGGAATCATTTTGATACGTAATTTGAGATTTTTACTTCTTACCCTATCAACAAGCCACCAACTATCCAAAACAAAAGAAGAGCATGTGACCTATTGCATGTGTTGTTGCTTGATTTCACTGAATAGTTGTCTATATGTTGATCAGTTGATGTGTAATTTGTGCCAATCATCTTGATCCAAAAATGTGAAAGTTGTGTTTTTGAGATAATAATTTAGAACTATAACATCTAGATGGGTTACATGTTGATATTCTAGATTCAATCACTATTCAATAATTCTTGGTATGATGTTAAGTGACTGGTTCATCTTTTTTGAGGCGTATTTGTTGCTGCTGTGCATGTTCAGCTGATATCCATAGCGATGAGGCAACATGCTATCTCATTCGAAACTAGACTTTTTACCAACATTATTCGAAAGCTACATGTCAGTCAGTGAAAGGTCAGTCAGCTTGCTGTTGTTATTTCTTTTTTTTGTTAACGAATATTAATCCATCCACATGTTGTAATTTCCACGCTCAACTTAACAGCATTCTAATATTTCAATTTCACCAAAAGCAATCATCTGACTCAATTTGAACAATCAATTGTTGCTTTTAAACGATCTAATCTAATTAATACATGTGGTATTATTCAAGATTAGTTTGCCTAAATCTGCTAAATTGACTAGCCGAAAGTCGTTGGATTTATGGGAGAAATCTCCAAACTTGCAGATTTATTGAAAGCAATTTCTGTTTTGCCCTTCTTGTTGGTGAATGAGAGCACAATACAATTGTAGAAGGAATAGGTTCATTTCTTGTTGGTTGTGGATGGTGTTTATAATTTCGTCTGGTTGTGGATCATTTCGAATGGTTTCAGATGCTTGTACTGGTGGAAGTGGTTCATGGTGGGCGTTATTGACTATTGAATGAGAAGTGCTGACATGTTTAGTCACAATTAATTGCTCATTTTCTAATGGTGTGTTTTCAATTCGAAAGACAACAGTTTCGTCCTTTTCTGGGTTCAAAACAAAGTAATTCTTTAATAATTCATCATGACACAACTGTTTTCTCAGTTCATGTTTGACAGACATCTTTACCTTCTTCTTTTGTATTCTATTCAATGTTTTACAAGTTTCGTCCATAAACTTTAGACCTTTCTCCTTCTTTCTAATATTCGAATTTTTCATTGGTTTGAGAGTTTTTTTATTTTAATTTGTATAGACCTGTCATCATCAGTTACAAGACCTCCAATATGTAAGCGACGCATGAACCAGATTGTTTTCATTCCTTGTAACGACACATATCTGATGAATTTGAGATTTTTGTTTTGAATTGAGTAATTAATTTTGTCCTTTTCAGAGTAGAGACATCAAAGTGTTTCTAAAACAATACCAATAAAATTCCTTATTTGATTCTTGTTTGGTTTTAAGCAGTTTTTGAAAAATGTTGTATAATAGAAAGTAGACGAAAGTTTGTTCAGTTTAATAATTCTTTTATTGATATTGAAGTTCTGACTACTCGTGTAATGTTTCTATTAAAATTTGACTTATTCATTAATTGCGAGCTATTTTGATTAGTTTGCCATGTTTCAGGTTTAGTTTCTAATAGTTTCTTTTCTTTTTTTCGTTTTGGAGGTTTCTTTGTTATTCCCTTCTTGTTGCAGACCTTCCACTTTTCAAGAGTCTCAGTCTTGGTCACTATCATTCTATTAGAAGAATAATTATTGGACGAATCCCCTTTCTTTGGTCTTCCTCTTCTTCTTTTCATTGTTTCTTCTACGCCATTACTGTTTTTTGGTGGTGGCGAGAATTCCACCATAGAGAATGTGTGATAATTATTAATCTTGTAGGAAGATGCAGATGCTGTATTGATTAGTGTCATTTTTGTTTTTTGAAAAAGAAAATTACATGAAACAGGTTTTCATTAAAAAGGCAATCCATAAAGTTTCTTTTTAATGGGAGATTAGGTGCATTTCAGTCATGTCCACTTTAAGATATCAACACACATTCTTTGAAATGCTTTCTCGAAGGAGCATTTCATGTAATGCAGCTATTTAATACCGTTACATTACAATACGATTGAAAAGGCAAGTAATTGTTCCAAAAACAGTTGGAAATGAAATCTAAATGGAGTGTTTTAAAGGAGATGATAGCTCTTGGCCAGATTGGTATTTTTATGCCTATGGTTAAACACCCGACCCGGTTATTCAAGATTGAGAAAAATTGAGTGTGGGTGGAAACTTGGTTTCGAATAATTGTTTATTGGTGAATGTTAGTATTCTTGTTGGTATTGTAAGAGTAAGCTGTACAGTTGAAGGAGAAAGATCATTTCTTGTTGATAGGTAGAATTATCCATTTGTTGATTTGTATTCGAAACTGTGAAATGCTGATGATCCACAGCATGTGTATTCATTTCATCTTGTCTATTTTCTTGATTTCTCTCCTCAATACTATTCGATTCTCCAACTAGTCTAACATGTTGAGTTACCACACTATTTCCGATTTTAAACTCTTTATCTATTCGAAAGGTTGTCAATTGATCCTTCCTATTATCAAAAACAAAGTAATTCTTTAAAATTTCATCATTCTGTAATTGCTTTCTCAATCCTGGATATTTACTTTTTGGTTTCCTCTTGATAATCTTGTCTGTGGTCTTTACTGTTTCGTCTATTATCGAAAATTGTTTCGAACCTTTCTTCTGGTTTTGACCACTTGGCATTGTTGTTTAATTTTTTATTGAATTACATCTCCTCACAGCGCTTTAGTTGAGGATTAGTTTCGTGAAAATATTATTTATTTGCAGACCGAAACCATGAAACCTCAAATTTGGTCATTGATTTCCAAACTGTTATGAAATTGTAAAGATTATTTTTAATCTTACCCGTTTCTCTTGAGGATATTGCCTTTAAAAGTCGTTATAATGCAGTTTTATTCTATATGGAGTCCACATTGTCTTCAATCTTTCGAATATAGACTGTTCAGCATGATGATGAAATAGAAGTGTTTCAATAAACATTTAGCTAATCTTCAGCATGTTGTGATGATTCTAGTTGGTTGTGGTGTAATTATGCAATTGAATACAATCAGCTCTATTATCCGTCTTCTTCAATGTGATGGAGAAATAGTAATTTTAGGAGAGCTTTTCGTTGTTCGTTGT